GAATCAGGGAACAAAAAAAAATTAAACTCAGTACTACGTAAAGCCACGAAAGTGGCTAAATCAGTAGTCTCTGCTTAGCAACAGAACTTGATCAGACGAGCTTAGATCAGTAAATGATAAGTAATAACCTGAATCCGCTAAGAGTTTACATCTGTAGTTGAAGCCAAATCAGCTGAAACGACACCACGGCGTTTCATCATTATTTACAGGAACGACGAAAAACTCTGCCATAAAGAAAGTCTGCACATACAGTCTAACATGGTGATAAACTTTCGAGACTGGTGTTTGTTTAAGAACCCAGTTCGTACGCTTATCACAAAACGAACACCTGAAAAGTTAACGGGAATGTCACCTGTTCGAAAGTAGTAATTTTACTAGGGTCCAACTTGTCTAAATAGCCTCTCACTCCGGCGTAAATCACAATGATTTGTTCCTCAATTGGCATCGGCACTGAAATATCACAAACGTCAGTTATTCACTGTAAAAAATCTTTTTCCCATTTTACCATATTGACCCTGCTTCAATAACTCTGTAAGACGGACACCTCGATTCAGTAACTGTTGCGTAGACGCGTCCAAATCAGATCCGAACTGCGCAAACGCAGCTACCTCACGGTACTGCGCCAACTCGAGTTTCATACTGCCGGCCACCTGTTTCATGGCCTTCGTTTGAGCAGCGCTGCCCACTCTGCTTACAGAAAGACCGACGTTAATCGCAGGCCGAATGCCCTTGTAAAACAATTCAGTTTCCAAAAATATCTGGCCATCCGTAATACTAATGACATTGGTTGGAATGTACGCTGACACGTCGCCGGCCTAGAAAAAATTTTTGGCAATATAGAAAAAAGTGTAAAAAATCTTCCATAATTTATGCTTTGCAGAAAAAAGAATATTCAGAGATGAACGTGCGCTGAAAATTTATCAAGATTGTGAAAAGCAGGCACAAAATTCCTTTGAATTCCCCAATGATTTTTCGTAGAGAATGAAGATCCGACCAATTAAGGTGCAGCTTAGACAAAAGACTTAGTGACAATCAGAATGTTGTGCTGTACCCAAACTCAGCAAATTTCCGTACTCTTGGAGAAAACTTTACCCGGAAAGCTCAGTAATGAGATATCCAACTGTTGCAGTCTCTCTGAATCTACCATTTCAGTATGAGAAAATCACCTCCGACAGCTATTGCTTCGACAAGTGCCCCCACCGAGGGCGTTTTTGAGATATGCTGTAACCCTCATTGCTGCCTTTGTCAAGCATGAGCCAAACTGGAAGACGTTAGACTATTCATCACAACGAATCTCAGCACTAATGTCTGAACACATTTCTTATTAAATATAACATGGACAAATTGATATGACAAGCGCGAGCTGTGCCAATTACAAGACAGTGAAGCGTGATGGATATTCTTTGCCTAGGCTATACTGCTCAGCCAGTCCTGCACGAAACACGTTACTCGGGGCAAGTTTCGATTTCCCATGTAAAGTGATTCTGTAGTAACTAAAATGAGCAAGCTTCAGTGTATTCTGTCATTAGTATTATACTGTATATACTGTTGCACTTCTACTTCGCCTGATCATGACACTGATGATATGGAATTTTTGGGTAAAGTGAAAATTGATCGCCAATCATTTTTTATTAACAGTTTTCATTCTGAATTATTAAAAGCTTTATAACCATATAACTACAATACAGAAACCAAAACAACATCATGTACACCAAATAAACAACAGAATTTATTTGTACCTGTGTCTCAATGATAGGTAGCGCCGTTAAGGAACCACCTCCATGAGTGTCGTTTAACTTAGCCGCACGTTCCAAAAGTCGACTGTGCAAGTAAAACACATCCCCAGGGAAGGCTTCACGACCCGGGGGGCGCCGCAAAAGCAAAGACATCTGCCGATAGGCTACCGCCTGAAAATCAAGCATTAAACAACAGGAATATTATCGACATTCTATTTCGGTAATAGGGCATATTTGAGGATTCATCTTGCCTGCTACCGCTAGAATACAGACTTAGACTAAAATTAAAATCTTGACTTAAACTACAGAAAAATTTATTTAAAAAATAGCGTGCGCAGAACTCTGAAATGGCAAAACTACCTAACCAATATCATTGCCATCTGACTGCCTAGAAGAAGATTGAACACAACGAATAATAATCTTCTAACCTGTTTCGACAAATCGTCGTAAATAATGAGGGCGTGCTTTCCGTTGTCCCTGAAATATTCACCCATAGCACAACCAGAATAGGGGGCCAAGTACTGCAAAGGGGCGGCATCTGACGCTGTTGCGCTGACAATAATGGTGTATTTCAGAGCATCTAAACAAAACAGGTGATTTCAATATATCCACATGCTACCATTCGGAGGATTATTTTAGATATGCCAAGAAATATTTTACCATATTAAATGAGAAAAACTCAGTTACTTAGGCTCCTTTACTTTAGCCCTTCAACTCAAACACAGAAGCCATTTGCGATCAGTACAAATAACAGTTACGGTCATCAAAATTCATATTAACTGTTAAAAATTGACAAATGCCACATTCAAATTTTCATAATTGATAATCAAATACGTTTTAAATCAGTTGGAACGTGTCGGAATATTATCTCGGCATTTTGACTGTCACAGAATATTCCAGAGCGAAACCTGTCCCGTAAAACAAGCTGTGATTCACTGGCATAACATTTTAGACATTTCTGTCTGACTACTGGAATTCCGGTGATCGCATAGAAATAATTTCCGGTTCGCGATTATTAGTTAATCGATAACCGGCTGTCTGCCAGAAGTCAGCCCTAATATAAGAGCTAACTAGAGCCATAAATGCAATGTTATGCTGTGTGTGTCGTACAGCACTGTTACGTTGTAGAGTAAGCTTCCATTCTGACTTCTCATATTATGACTCGGCGAACGCCATCGAACAGCCACTGAAGCTACAGGCAAGAATAAATATTACCTGCTTGACACTGAATACCTGAGTAAGTGCCTGCACAAAACATATATATGACCGTGTTGAATTAATAAGCGATTTCAATTGCACTGAACTAAAAATGAGACAATGAACTTAAGCGAAGAAACCAACTGTCTAAATAGGGATTTCAGCAAAGGTTCATAAGAGTGACTTAGGTTATCGAGACGCCAATGAAAATGCTAGAAGTTATGAGGGCATGACGCAATCTCATTGACAGAACCATACAGATGCAGTAGTTCTGGATACTTCTTAGGTAGCGGTGCACACACTGAATGGAATCAGAGGGTTTTTCTTAAAAATCATATGATGTTTTACTAGACTAAATATGAATGACAAAAATGACAGTTAACATGACGAAACAGATCACTTCCGTAGAAGCAATAAAGTATTTAGAATTTTTCATTCTTTAAATACATTCGCTGCTTAACAAAAGCAACCCAGAAATGTCTTTTCATACAGAAATCCAGCGCCGAAACAAATGAAAAGGAGAAAAATTTTCTGTATTTATGGGAGGATCTTCCAAACAAAGCAGCGGACTGAACTGGCAAACTGGATAAATATGTTGACAAAATCGGTCTTCAGGGAAGATATTTTTGATTCACCAAAGATCAACAAAGGTAATTTAATGAAAACATTTCGCTTGAAATATTGGAAGAAAACAGCTTCAATCATAAACATTTTAACACTGGAAGACGCAATAACAGATCGTCAGAAAAATCAATGACAGCCATGAAAAGAAACATTTTTGACAAGTAAAATGTACACGTTAATAAGTACACATACTATCAGAAAGCAGTCATTTTGAATGCCAAAAATGATAAAAATTTAAATTCGACAAATGTGTATAAGTCTCAATTTTGCTTCTAACTTAGAGCTGCCTTTCAAAAATGCTTCAACGCATTCCTAACCATAAACAGCATAAGTAAAACATCGCTATTCCTACAGGTAGCGGCATGAAACATCTCCCAAAAGGTTCGATTATCTCCATAGGATAGACCCTGAGACGGAGCAAAGAGAGTTGTTCAATATACTTGAGCTATATGGTATTCAGTCTGGTTCTTGACTGCCTTCTACGTAACATGAATTGAGAGCCAATTCCTAACATTCTAATCACATGTCTGAACTAGAACAATTCTGATCGATCAGTTGGGAGAATCAGTCGCTCAAGAGCGAGAATACGTTGCGTTGTTGTATATAGTCTGGTCTGCCCATAAATAGTTATAAGAACCACTTGGTTCTAGATTCATGGGACCGAATACGCAAAAGCTGCCTGATACCGTAGCAGACAGACAAAATATCGCATCACCGTGACGGTCTGAACAACACAAAGCACCAAAAATATCAAATTTAAATGAAAAAGTAAGTTTCTAAAGTTTCTAAATCAAGGCAGCACAAGATTAAAAGATACTGAATGAAATAGTTCATACCTGTGTCAGCTAACCT